TTTATGTGCCACATCCGGTCCTGATCAGTAGGAAGCATGATGTCATGTGAGAACCTTCCTCCTGTGAGGCTACATTGGGCTCGCGGGGCGTTCCTTCGCTCATCCAGGCTTTTCCGAAACCGGCACACGCGCACACACACACACACAGACACAGAGACAGACAGAGACAAACAATCACTGCTCACCCAGGCCAATTGGTGATCCTGAAGGTTTCCTTCCGTCACGTGCTTGTGGCAACTGGCCCCAGCCGACGAGCATGTGGGCACTTTCGTCGCTGAACCACCGAAGTGCCAAGACAAGGCATCAACTAAAAGTGCCGCTCCAAGGGTTTATGTATTGGCATCAACAGCAGCGATCATTTTCCGCTCGGAAATCTGCATTCTCGACGTGCTCGCTTGCCGCTTGCCCGCTCTCACACTCTTTCTGCCTGCGCCATGTCAGTCTAAATGATGCATCGTCCAGGAAAGCGAGAAAATCGGGTCGTGGGTCTGCGGCGCAGCAGCTACTTTCTGCCGAAAAAAGGCTTCGCGGGAAACTAAAACATCTGAAGCACGTTTGTGGTGACGGCTCCTCCGATGAAGCCGCTTCGCTGAGCCCATGCTTCCAGGCCACGATGGCCTGGTCGTGTGGTATGCACCTAAATAGTGTATGCAAGTGTTCACATGTATAATGTGTTTCCACATCGGTTAAAAAACTACTTTCCCTCAGGCAAAAAGTTAGTTGTTTAGATAGCTAGCTACCAGCGAGTGAATTCGTGAGCGTTGTTGATTTACGGAGCTGCAGACTGCAGAGCTTTCAAGTACTAGCCTTTGCAGAGGTGGGCAGCTTGGCTTCCCTGTCAAACTCTTTTGGACACTCAAATTTCTCAATGCCCAGGACCACATGAAGAGCGCCGTCGACGATATGACAGCTTGGCACTCAGGGTTGAGAAGCATTCTTTTAGGCTGTGAGGCTGTGAGATCTGGGATGGTGTGGCTTGTGCCCAGGGTCTCGGCGCAGCCCTTCCGAAGAGATTCTTTGGTGCTGCATGTTGCATGCGTTGCGCTGCCATCACGCTGAGTAGCCGGTGTTGCTGCATCTGGGCTTCTCCATATCAATACCGGTGTTGATATCCGTGCGAAGATCTGTACTAATAGCCGCATGAGACTTAATTCCCCCAAAAAAACAGTCTCTTCCGTATTAACAACGTATCGTCGATGACTTCCCATCGGAGCTAAAACGGCTGAGCCTGCCTGGGCCGTCTCGATGCTCTGCTGAGCGCTCAGGGACAAGGCCTTTGAGAGGGTTCAGGGTTTGGGTCTTTCTTTCGAGACCCGTTCAGGGTTTGGGTCCTTTTTTTCGAGACCCCTCTTTTTCTGCATATCAGTCCAGTTAGAACGCTTGAAAGGCGGAGGTAGTAAAACTGAGACCAAGAGACCGGTCACCACTGTTTGCAAGGTTATGCCTTGTAAATATACAGTGCATGTCACTCAGTCTCGTCAGGGCTTAGGGTTTAGGGCTTAAGGAAAAAAGGGTTTAGGGTCTAGCCGAGAATTCCCCACCCTCCCGACCAGAATCAGAGAATGGGACTGGAGTCCAGCTCGGGCAAAACAACTTGTGCATGAGCTTTTGTCTGCAGGCTTCTGCAGGAACGCTGTGCAGGGGTTGCAGCTGGGGGTTTGTGGCACAATAGCTGCAAAGTCTTCAATCCTCTATATATCTAACCTGAACCCTAGACCCTAAACCGTGTACAGTAATACACTGCAGGCGCTGACCCTGCACAACCTGTCCAAGCTTCGATGAGGCGGCGTGGGATGCAGCACGATGCCAGCGCACCCACAGCTGCAGCTATCCTGTGCTGTGCCGAACTGAAGAGTTGGAGCTACCATGATAAGTCAGGGCTTTTAGTGAAAATACTCGCAGTTCGTTTATGCCGCCCCTGCGACGAAGGCACTCTGTGACAGGCCTACCTTTGCTTTCACAAGGACTTGCTTAGAAGGTGTGGGAATGATAGCTTGAACAGTAATCCTGAACACTGATGGGTCTATGATTGGGATCACAAGCATGGATACTTAGACACGAATCACGAAAAATGTCTTAAAGGGGAACATGTTCTCAAACCTGTGGACATACCCACAAAACCCATCAAACTATCGACAGATTTGACAGCAAGATTCCCTGTGCTCGTTCATTACACCCCGCATGAATCCTAGAAACCCTATCCAGGAAGAGGTAGCATGGTGCATGCTATGACATGCAGGACCCTATTTGCAAGGATCATGCTGCCGAGCAGCATCGTGATCCGTATCATACCGGGGTTGCCTTTGTTTCCGCGAGCTTCCAAGAAGGCTTCCATAACACAAGCTCCAGTGACATCAAGTGACTAGCTGTCAGCAGTTGAAATTGAGACAAGCAAACCGGCCTGCTACGGATTCGCAGATCAACGTCCCAGCGCCTTCGCAATCCTCGCAGGAGATACGAAGCTTCACAACGGAGTAATCACTGCTGAACGCATGTGCTCTCAACGGCCGTGGCGGCGACGGTCCTTACCATGGAGGATATCCCGCTGCAAGGCTGTGCTGAAGTTTCCCATCGCGGCAGTGCAGGCCCTTAAATGCAGCAGCTTGCCGCAAAAGGAGCCGTTGGATTTCCAAGGTAAGCTCTTTCTCGTGAGGGACACTCAGTACAGCTGCTAATAATCACGGCTATGCCAGCCCCAAAAAAGCAGAGTCCCAGCGGCGCGTTGTCCGAGAGCATGGGGGCAAAGTCGCAGCCGATTTGGAGCCCCAGCTGGACGTTTCCGACCACACAGAGGAACAGGGCCACAAGCACCTGAACACTTGGGTTCGCGTTGATGATCTCAGATCGCCCAGGGTGTCAGATGAGCTGCTGTTTGAGGCTCACATCTACGACTACTGACTACTACGGCTCCAACGAATACTACGACGAGGACGATGCCACTGCCACTTCACGACAGTGACGAGGACGAGGACGACGACGGGGTCGTCAGAGCCAGAGCGAAAAGACTTGCAGTAGCATAATTTATCGTCTTTAGGTCCTTAAGTGGTAGTTACGTCTCCATCTGAGGCCACCACCAGCAGTATCGAGACCTTTCGGCGAGAAGCGTGGGGGGAGCAAGGACTCGAATGCAGGAGAAAGAGGTGGCTGGGAGCAGGTGTCCAAGACTTGCCGAGCGACGGCATCTTGAAGAAAGATCAGCAAGTAGAAGCCAACGACATGTACCTGCCCGCAGCTGTGGGTGGTTGCATCCCTTAACTTAAGCAGCAGCTAAGCATCGAAAAACATCCGCAGCAACAGTCGTCAGAGCAAAAGTGGCCCACACTCGTGCAAATTTGATCGTCTGCAACACTGCAAGCTGCCACGGGGTCACAAAGTGTCCGATGGAGTCGATGCCTGAGCCACGGCTCGATTTCTTCTGACAGTCCGTGTTGCAGATGCATCTTCAAGAAGTCTGCACGCTGGCCCCGCAAGACGAACCTGCTGAAGTCGAACTGCCTTTCGGATCCAAGTCTTACAGCCGACAGTTCAGATGTCTCAGCCCGCCACAGCCCCAGCAGCAGCCTCTCAAGCGGACATGCCAGGAGGAGATGTTTTAATTACATAATTATGTAATTATGTAGTTAGCATCCATCCATGGCCAGTGGCGGTGGCCACCCATGGAGAGCGGTACCGCAGAGCTGAGGCGGTCCGACGCATCCCCCCACGCCCCCGTGCATTCCTTGCAGAAGCCTTGTCGCTCCTTTGCAGCGATCTCGTAGACTCTCGCGATGCCCTGGTTCTCGAAGATGTATTCCAAGTAGCAGGCCTCAAAGCCACCAAGTCCAACACTGCACAACCCAACGCCCAAGAACGAAAACCTACCAAGGAGGTTCAAAGGAGACCTCACCCCTGGTCCGAGATGCGTATGCAAAAGCCACCAGTGCCATAAGGACGGCGCACCCAACGCAGCCACCTGCAAGCTACACACACATAGCCTGCTCAGAGGCTCCACCCCGGAAGGCCGCGTGCCCGGCACCTGCAGCGTACAAATACATGGAGGCTGCATAGTTCAGCGCGTCCTGCGGACCAGCAAATCACAGTGAGACGAAGTGTGCTTTGAGATGCGAGGCCAATGGTCAGCAGTGGAGCTGCCAGTCCATCTTGGAGCTGGAGCTATCCAACTTCTTGCAATTCATTCATGCAGTTGCTGCTTTACTTCTGGTCCTTCTTCTGACTGCCCAGGTCGTGCCGAAGTGGGACGAACGTGCATACTCGTAGGCATAGTTACAAAGAGCCAAGTTGCGATTCATTTCCGTGCATGTAAATATCCGGGAGTCCTTCGCATCCGTGCCGGCGACCAGAGCACTTGTGGCCACCAGCGCAAACTGCTCCTGAAGCTCTACATCTGCCCAGCAATTGCATTGCCTCAACGACATGCTCTCCCCACTCCGGGAAATGTAACTGCAAAGCTCCTTCACCTTGGAAGCGGCCACCCTAACCTTGGATGTTTATGAACACAGGATATGCCACGGACGCTCCGTGTAATCTCGAGTCAGGACGATCTCAGCCGCTTGGAGAGACAGCCTTTGTTGGCCAAGTGGCTACTGAGGTCGCATCCTTGACGATCGTGTCCTTAAAGACCGAAGTGACAAGATGGGACACGGCCTGGAACCAACTTCCAAGAATCGCCTGGAACCGGAATCGTACAACCCGAACCTTACGGCCTGTTACAGCAGGTGCCTGCCCCTGCCAACGCCGCCGGAACTACGAAAAGAAAGCAATTGCCAACTAGAAAGTATTTGGGCCACATCCTCTTAGACCCTGGTTCGGAAAGCGCCTGCCGGGCAAGAAGGCTCTCCGACAACTGAGTATGGAACATACGAACAAGGTCTGCAAGACTAATTTGCGTCGGTATAAGACACTGAAAAGCGCAACATCAAGGTTGCCAAGAAAGGCGTCCTTCGATCGCCGCGCTTCGTGAACCACCGTCCGGGCCGATCCCACCACAGAACTGACGGCCTGCGGCTTGCCGGCTACGCAATTGCAAACAGATGCAACGAGACCGTGCAGACACAGAGTTTTGGGCTGCAACAGCAACTCGTTTGGCACCGTTCTACGCCCCCCAAGAAGCTCAGGAATGAAGAATGCAGCTAGCATGTAACACCAGACACCAGAATGGGCACTGTGCTTAGACAGCATCTGTTGCTGCTAGCCGCCAGCCTTCAAAACCTACACCCAAAAAACGATTGCAAGCGAGCCAAGTGCCTCGAGGACTGCTTTCTGTTCCTCCGCCCCTAGCGACGCATAGTCTCGCACCAGGTTCAAGGCCACCAGACTTTGGAAATGCCTGCACGGAAAACTTGAAATTCTGGCAGTGGGTGTATACATGTTTAAGCTAGGTGTGTGCGAACGTACATGCATAAATACATAGACATGTTGCGACACTATATGATCACGCAGGATTTCATCTATACATACCTGCATATGCTGGTATCTACATACCTGGACATACCTTCATGCATACAGATATACATGCATACATGTAGGATCATGTAGGCATACATTCCTGCATGCCTCTCAGACAAACAGACAAACGGACAGAGTAACAGCCAGACAGATAGAGACAGACAGACAGAGAGATAGACAGACAGNNGGCAGGTAGGCAGACAGACTTATGAAAGATTACTGCTGTGTACATTTACGTGAACATGTGTATACATTAATGTAACGGCTGATGAAGACGACCGCTTTGCATCTCAGGCACGCAGACTCCACGAACTTNNGGCTGAATGAATGTTCAGCAGCCTAAGCTGTGTTCCGATGTTGCCGCAGTCTTTGATACGGCATAGTCGTGGCCATACACACCGAAAAAGCCAATGTAGATGGGCGACGGAGCCGGGAGCTTGCTCCGGAAACCTGCGGCCAAGCTGTGGTTGGCCAGG